TCCACCCCTCCCTAAGATCCTTCTTACCACCCTGATGGTAGCTGGAGCGTTTCATCTCTCTGACTGTGCACCCAGCATGTTCATAGTTGTCTTTGTAGTTAGTTTGAAGTGTAAATAATTAGCAATTAGTTAGGTCATTTTTCTTATAGTTCTTATTGCTAACTCTCTCCTTTGAGGGAGAGGAATGCCAGGTCCACTGGTATTCAAGCCTTGTGCGATTTGTGCAAAACCTATGCCCTGTGCGGACCCCCATAACTCTTGTTTAAAGTGTCTGGAGGAGGGCCACCTCGCAGACTCATGCAGGATCTTTGGAGGTTTTAAGCACGATTACCATCTCAAGCTGCTCTTTATGGAGTCCGCACTGTAGCCAGCGTCAGAATGGGCACCGGCGGTCAGTAGTGTACCAGCGTTGGTGCGCGAATCACCTGTGGCACCGGCACAAGCCTTGGCACTGCAAAAAATGTCACCTGCTATGCACCGTTCACAATCCCCAGCGCTGAGAAAGAGATGGCAACTCAGAGGAAGATCTCCAGGGAAGCAGGAGTATGGGGGACACCATCAAGAAGATTCACCCCCTCGACATCTGGATGCTCCTGGCCCCTCTAGGTAATGGTTGAGCTCGGCACGGCCAAGAAGTCCAGTCCAGGAGAGGGCCCTTGATATAGTTAGGTCGTCAACCCCTGAGACTTTCAACACTGCAAGGGAGCGGATGTAGCTCACTTCCTTGCCCAGCACCAGAGTCGGCACCAAGACAGGGCAGACAGATGGTGCAGATGAGTCTCCTGCCCTCAGCTTCAGTGACTTTGTTGGCACTGGGGAGTTCTCTAGCACTGGGGGCCTTGTCGGCACCAGGTACATACTTGACACCAGTTGCCTTGTAGGCACCGGTAACTGTGATGGCACTGGTAACCCTGTTAGCATCGGTGGCACTGGTAGTGCCATTGCACGAACTACCAGGCACCGGGCCAATAGGTACCGGGAGATGGTATGGACCCAGCATGCACTGGTGGCACTGTATTAGGGCATGCCAGGGGCTTTCCTACCTGCTGCAATGAGGCCTCCTGCTCCAGTGCATCGAGGAAAAGCTGAATCGATGGCTCAGCACCAACCCCGCCAACTCTCCCAGGCGCCCTCAATGGCACCGCCATGGTCAACGTCGGACTATTCATCAGAGTCCGACGTAGAATCAGTACAATCTGGTGCATCATCTCATAGGTCCTCTCCTTGGCACCACTCACGCTCATGGCACCAGTTCTGGCACTAGGGGTACCAGCCCCATCAAACATGGCCGCCTCTGATCCAACCGCAGTAGTCATTCTTGATGCCCTGGGCCTACCACCAAATGCAAGGCCTGGTTGCAATCTGCTTGGTTCTGTCTTGATCTAGAGGTATGCCGTCAGCAACCCCCTTAGCTAGAGCCCCGGCCTCAGAGTATATAGGTAGCCCGCAGAGGGACCGGCCTTGTCCCCAGGCAGAGAGTGAGGATCCAGGTGTCAGACCCAATTCAGGACCAACTAGTGATAAGGGAGTCCTCATCATCTCTGGATGAGGCCCTGGCTGACCCAGCTCCATTTATGCCATCTATGGATGCTAGAGCCTACCAGGAGTTGCTGTGTCATCTAGCAGCCAATTTGGGGATACAGGTGGAAGTCATCAATAAGGACTCAGGCCCCGTGATCGACATTTCTAAGATTACCACCAATCTGTGGCAGATGCCGGCATCCAGTCCGCCTACTCAGAAATGAGTAGGGAGGCGCTATTTTGTCCCCCAGAATAGACATGAACATTTATACCCTCACCCAGCCTTGTGCTGTCTGATGGTCCAGATGGCAGGGCGAAAGGAGTAGCTGGGTTAGCCAGGACCTACCCCAAAAGCAGGGAACTGAAAAAAAAATGGACCTGTTGGGTAGGAAGGAATATGCACCGGAGGCCTTCGGCTGTGTGTTGCCAACCAAGAGGCAATGTTAAGCAGGTATGTATATAATACCTGGATAGCGGTGGATAACGTTAAAGAATGCTTGCCACAAGACTCTTGCCAGGAGTTTGCAGCACTGATGGAGGAGAGTAGGATTATATGCCACACAGCGTTGCAGGCCACACTGGACGCGGTAGACTCAGCAGCATGCACGATGGCCACAGGGTTGTGATGTGCCATGGGGCCTGGCTTCAAGGTGTGGAACACACTGCAGGACTTGCCATTTGAAGGAAAGGACCTCTTCTTCCAACAGACAGCTGCCAGGCTGCATAGTCTAAAGGACTCCAGGGCTACACTTAGGTAGCAGAGGCGGTTATTCAACCCTAGACCACAGGGCGGGCCTCCCTATCAAGGTTATAGGCCTGATCAAGCAAGGCACAGGCCTCGAAACGCTGGCAGCAATAATGCCAATGGACCCAACAAGAGGAGATGGTCTCGTTTGGGCTCGGAAAGGTGAGGGCCATCTCCTCTTCAGCAGCCCAAGTCCTTGTTTTGAAGGTATGCCCAAGGACAGAATACCAATTCCCGTGTTAGACGCCCCCCTCTCCCCTCGCCTTTGGGGACAGGCTCTCCCATTTTTACCGGGCCTAGGGCCAGATTACAACCAACAGATGGGTCCTCGGCCTGGTGACACCAGGATATTCTGTCCCCTTCTGTTCTTCGCTACCCTCCCACCCTCTATCCCCGTCCCTCTTCAGGGACCCCTCTCACGAGCATCTTTTGAATTGAGGTGATTTCACTCCTTCAGCGAGGGGCAGTGGAAAGGGTTCCTCAAGACTTTAGGGGGAGGGGATTCTACTCCCAGTACTACTTCATCCCCAAAGCAAAGGGAGGCCTCAAACCTATTTTGGACCTAAGGGATCTGAACACCCTCAAACCAAAAGCGAAGTTCAAGATGGTCACATTGGCATCTATTATTACCTCCCTGGAAATGGGGGACTGGTACGCCGCCCTCGACTTGAAAGACGTGTATTTTCGTATTTCCATAAGGCCCACTCATAGGAGATTTCTCAGGTTTATTGTGGGACAGGAACACTTCCAGTTTTCAGTCCTCCCTTTCGGACTGTCTGTGGCACCAAGGGTCTTCACAAAGTGCTTGGCCACAGTAGCCACCTTCCTGAAGAGGAACAGAATCTAGGTATTCCCTTATCTGGACAATTGGCTAATCAGGGGCCGCTCCAAGGAACAGGTGTTGCATCACATAGACCAGGCTGTTTCCAAATAAACAAGGAGAAATGCACTGTAGTACTCACACAAGTTATAGAATTTGTGGGAGCCCAATTAGTCTCGACTACAGCCATGGCTTCCCTTCCCAAGGCCAGGTTTCTAGCTATGAGCCTCATTATACAGGGCCTCATAGCCTCTCCAATCATAACAGCAAGAAATTGCATGAAGCTGCTCCATCAGGTGGCAGCTTGCACCTATGTGATCAGACACGCCAGGTTGCGGCTCAGACCGTTGAAGATGTGGTTAGCCCAGGTGTTCAATCAGGCATGTGCACCTTGGGACTCGCTCTTCATGCTTACACAAGATGTCATCTGGTCCCTTGGGTGGTGGATGCGAGACCATATGGTGTGTGCAGGAGTGCCTTTAGTGAGCCAGAGCCTGATGGTGCGGCTTGTCACCGACACATCGGCCACGAAATAGGGAGTGCATCTGGGTGAGCAATGGACCCAAGGTATGTGGTCCCCTGGGGAGCGGGATCGCCACATAAATATCAGCACTCAGGGTGGTATTTCTGTGTGTATTTGGTCCTGAGTAGAGGCAGGGAGTTCCTTAAGGAGATAGTGTAGTTTTTTTAGGTATTCTGAAGTGGGATCAGAGGAGAGAGATCTGTAAAATGTGGTGGTGGAGAGTTGTCTAGTTGCCTCCTGGTCATAGTCTGACTTCCTCATAATGACCACAGTGCCCCCCTTGTCAGCTGGTTTGATTATAATGTCAGGGTTGTTTTTGAGACTCTGGATAGCATAGTGTTCAGCGTGGCTGAGATTGTATGTCACTTGTTGTTGTTTGTGCATAATGTCAGTCTGTGTATTGTTGCAGAAGCATTGTATATAGAAATCCAGATTGTAATTATGACTGTCAGGGGGAGTCCACATAGAATTTTTTTTCTTTTGGTGTTGATAGGAGGGATCTGGTTGGTCATATAACGTATACATACCTTTATATCTGAAAATTCTGACTAAAACAGGTTTCACTTCCAATGACTTGGCCAATATACCTACTAGAGGACATCACAAACAGCTTTTCTAGATCTGGTGCTTGTACAAGACATTTCTAGAACTGCCACCTATCATTGTTTGCACTCTATCTGAAGTCTTCACATGTGCACACGATTCTGTATGTTTAAAGAAACTAATGAACTAACTCTTCATTTTCTAACATTCCCCTTTCTATAAATGTGTTTTATAATACAGTTTTCTTTCAATTGCAATTTTAATAAATTGAGAAGACTTGCACATTTAGCTGCAATTGTTTTGTCATTTCGATTTGTGATATTGCTCCTTTTAAAAATATTCTTATGGGAGTAGAGCATTTGTGTAAAAAATCCACATGTCATAGTCTTCCGTATTAATATTGCCCCAAGCACCACAAAATTAATCCTTTTGATTGGATGTATTATTTGTCTTTGTTCTATTAAATGAAAACTTGTTTGTACTAAGTATATAGGTTGAACCTTTCTAGTCTGGCACCCTTGGGACTAGACTTGTGCCATACTAGAGAACTTGCTGAACCATGGGAGGTCAATATTGTCTAGCAGTATTACCAACGCTTCCACTCCTTACTGGACTCTTAGAAGACATTTAGGGGTAAATAACAGCACAGAACACTGAAAGCCAGGACTTTATGGGACCATGGGAAACTTGGCCATGTCCATAAGTAGACATCTGGCTAACTAAAGTCATGCTGGACAATGAATGGTGCTGGACCAGAGAGTGCTGGACTAGAGAGGTTCAACCTGTATTAGCAAAAAAAAATTGTTCTTTGAGAGTTTCCAGATGTCATAGAAGTATTGTCCCTTTAGGTCAAGATCTTATTCAGCATAATTCTTCAGGAACTAATGAGTTGAATGGGAGTTTGCGACTGACAACGCCAACAATCAGCAATCAGTCAACAGGTGCTACATTAACTTTAAGCAATGATCAACTTCTGTCTCAGGGTCCATCACTGAACACTTCAGGTATGCATTGAGTGATTTCATTGGAGAAATAATAACTTTCTGTATGAAAAATTCATTAAATCTGGAATGCTAAATTCGTTTACTTCCCTGATTACAGTGCCCAACATTTTGTGTGTTTTCTCATTTGACTCACTCATGTTTCATATCAATTGAATTATGCATCCACTGAAGACGTGGCATAAGAGAAGAAGGGAGTGTATCTAAAACTGCTGTGCTGAGGTAAATAAACGAATACTAAGCAGAGGTTTCCTATTAAATTGGAGGTAGGTGGTAGGTGTCATGTGGCCAAGACAGAACAGTGATAAAGTGGTTATGATTCAGATTTCCCTCAGGACTTTTTGGTGTTCTTATGTTGAAGTTCAAACTGTAAAGAAAGCTGTCTTTTTTTCCCCTGTGCTTCAACTTGACCTTAATACTGCAAAGCTACTCCTCTAACTTCTATGGAGGATGGAGTTCGGAATGATGTCCAGAGCCTACCTCCCAGAGAGCAGGTTTCTCACATTCTGACATACTTAATAGCAGAAGTCCAAATGAGCTTCTTGGCTCAAGAGAGTTTATATCCCCAGAGAGAGAGAGAGTTTCACCAAGTTACTCTTTATTCCAAGCCATGATCTAGTCTCTCTTGAAAGGTGGAAAAAACTGGATACAGCATGCTCAGGTATTTCCATTATCCATCTCCTGCTATCACAGTAGTTTTGGATGCATTTGTTTTACGATGAGAAACGCACATTATCACATCCAGATAGTCCATCCAGGAATTTACTCTGTATATCAGCTTTCTGGTGCTCAGGGCAGTACAGTATGCTTACCAACATGACAGAAGATCATCTAATTTATCTAACGAGACACAACAGGGCCATTATGTATGACAGTGGTTCCCAACCTTTTTGATACCAGGGACCAGCAAATCCATTCACAGACTTTTGGTGGACTAGCAACATTTGCATATTTGCATATTCATTATGGAAATAACAAATACGCAAATGAAATGTTACTAGCCTGCTGAAAGCTCTGGCCTCCAGAGTCCCCCACTGCAGCCCTAGCCTAGAGCCCCCCATTCCTCCACTACCCCCAGTGCCAGCCACTGATCCTAGTGTCTCCTGCACGCAACGCGTACTGTGCCAGCTTCCCACCCTCAGACCCCCCCAGTATCAACCTCCTGTTTCCAGAGCCTCACTTCACCCATCCCCCAAAGGCTCCCCTCCCCCAGTGCCAGCCTCCAGTTCACAATATTAGCCCCATCCTCAGAATACCCCAGTTCCAACCCTGCCCCCATAGCTTCCACACTACTATCCCTACATCTTAGAAAACCTCCCACCTCCAGAGCCCCCTAGCACTAGCCACGCCTCTGGAACCCCCAGTGCCTGTCCTGCCCCCCTCACCTGGCTCTGCACTGTCACCAGCTGAGCGCTGTTGCCCAGGATGCAGCTGCTCAGCAAAGCACTCTTCTACATCCGGAAAGAGACTGTCCTTCCCCTGCCAGGCCTGGCAACTGCCCAGCCCCTGACACATGCATAGGATGGGCGGTGTCTGCTGTACAAGCAATAGGGACAGGTGCATGTTTCTGGTGGCTCAAGAGTGCCTTCCCAGGCGATTAACAGTTGGGGCCTTGAGGCATAGGATCACTCAGCCTGTGGTCTGTCTTGGGCTCACGGCATCCACCTGACAGCTGGGTTGTACTAGCCCCCCTACTAGTTTGAGTCAGGGAGTCACCTCCCTCCCCCAATTCCTACTGGCGATTTTGGTTGTGGAGCTCCGGGATATTGGGAAGTGGCCGGACACATGGTACAAGCCAGACCTGGAAGGAAAGACCCCACGGGGGAAGCTCAGTCCTGCTGGAGGAGGTGCGGAAATCGTGGACACCTAGCACAGCTCTGTGGGGCCTCTCATCTGATCCTCTGAGATACAGATGAAGGCTGGGATACTCATGGCTATGAAGGCTCTGCTCGATGGTTCTGAACACTTTTCTTGCAACGGAAAGGACACAGGGCAGCTGCCCACCATGAAACCCCACCGGCCGGGTGCGTGGCTGCTGCCAGAGCTGGAACCAAGGCCGTGGTGAGGCTGAACAAGTAAGGTCAGGCTCACGGGGCCTGGCTCCAGCCGTGGCACACCAGGGCAGTCTGCAGATCCACTCACGGTGGGAGGACAGGAGGAGAATTTTTAGTGTGGGCAGACGTGAAGCTGATAGGGCACAGAATTCCCCACCAGGCAGGGCTCATTAGCAGCTAGGGGTGTGGCCTGGCAGAGTGCTACAGCCTGGCAGGCAGGGGTTCACGGCCTGCCACTGATCCGTGGATCGGTAGATGGGAACCGCTGATGTATGATACAAATCAAAAACGGGCTGATGACCTCAGCCAACACTTCACTTCAGATCATGAGTAGGAATAGCAGAGATCCATACTAAATTAGATTTTCTTCATCTAGCATCTTCCAAACATAGACCTTTTAGTGAGCACTGCCAATTGCAATTGTGAGAAATTCTGTTTGAGGCAAAGTCTCAGTCACCATCCCCGAAGAGCCTCCAGTATGCCTTCCTCTCCAGTGTTGCCAATCCTCATGTTTTTAAACAAAATAGGACTAGGCTATGATAATTTTGATTGCACCAATCTGGCCAAGACAGATATGGTTTCCTTGTCATCTTTATGTCTCCTCTGAGCCAGTCATCACTTTGGATTTGGGGAACATTTGTCATCCCATCTTGGATGCTCTCTGGCGCAAGGCTTGATACTTAGATAAGTTTTGGGATTAGGACTCTCCTATTCCAGAAAGGATCAATAAATCTTTTTGAGCCTTCAGAAATGGAAGCAGTTTTACCACTAGTATATTTACCTTTGCCTATCTCTTGTTGATTGTCCATTTTGGAGATTTTGGAATACCTGTTTGTTCTGAAGAAAGGAGGTGCCTTGATCTCCCTTCAAGTCAACCTAGCATTTAATTCTCCCGTGGAAGGTTTTTGAGTATTTACTCATCCTTCAGCTTCCAGATTCATAAGTATTTACTGTCTTCCTAAGTGTCCATGTGGGGTTTGAATTTAGTTTTTATCTTCTAATGAAATCTCCATTAGAACTGTTAGCTTCTTGTAAGTGTCTCCATTTTTCCATGAAAATGTTTTTCTGGTGGCAATTACCTCTGCACAAAGGTTTGGTGAATTAGGGGGTTTTATGTCTGACACACCTTACCTTATCTTTGAACAAAGCAGTGTATAGTGTATTCTTCCTACCATACCTATGGTTTCTATCTAAAGTTGTTTATGACTTCCAAATTATTCATCAGCCAATTTTCCACCACAAATCCCATCAGAGCTGAGAGGATGCTATCCTTCATGCCTTGTATATTAGGAGAACTCTAGCTTATTATTTGGACAGGGCTAAACTCTTTACAGTCTCTATGGAGGCATGGCCACACTAAACTTACATCGACTTATGTTAGGTGGTGATTACTGTGGTAGTTCAGGTTCATGCTACCCTCCTTCTTTTAGTGGTGCGAATCCTCAACAGGAACACTTCTCTTGTTATCTTAATATATGGTCACTTTAAATTGTGTTTTTTGTTTTGTGGTGAAGTTTTCTTACTTTCAGTTTCTTTAAATGTTGCTGTCATCTTGTCTTCTGGTATAAACAGACTTTTGCAAAAGGTGAGTTTTTCTCTGAGTTGTGAAGGTGATCAGATGAGGACATATTGTGTTCTCCTACGGTAAGATGTTCCATAGTGTGTTACCTGTCATTGAAAACTTGTCTTCAGATATACCCTTGTCAATGCAGCACAGTGCAAGACACTCATACATACATCTTTGTGATGCTATATATCTGGCAAGATCCAGTTATAAGAAAGTAAATTGTTTTTTCTGTCATTTGCCACCTATCTGACTAAAAGAGGAGAAAGTTGCGCAGTAGTGCTACCAAGTCTTAGTTAAGAATTGATCACATGAGTTATTAACCTAAAATGAGGTGGCTCTATAGCTAGGATTCATGCTTGTTTCCTTTTTTAATGTTGTGCATACTTTTTTGGCAGAACTTAATACATCAAGTGGAAATCTTCCTTCAGCACCACCCATGTCTCAATCCACAGTTTCTGCTCAGAATTTAGTAATGTCTTCATCTGGAGTTGGAGGAGATGGTAGTGTCACCTTGACCTTGGCTGATACTCAGGGCATGTTGTCTAGTGGTCTTGATGCAGTTACACTTAATATCACTTCACAGGTTAGTGCAATTTATTGCTTTGCTCTTCTGATTAATACAAGTTGGACCTCCCTGGTCCAGCACCTTTGGGACCTGAGTAGTTCCTAACCAGCGAATTTGCTGGACCAGGGGAGGGCAGGGCTCTCCTTCTGGCCATCAGTCCTACTCTAGGACTCCCTTCCTGGTCATCAGTCCTACTCCCACGTCCTGGCTCTGGCCACTGGGCTCTGCTCTCTGCCACTGGTCTGGGCTGCTCTCCTCACTGCGTCAGCTCAACTTGTGCTCCTGACCTTGGCTGATCTCAGCTTCTAGTTGCCAGGGCTCTTTTGTCCTGTAGGACCACAGATGTTGCCAGACCAGAGAGTCCTGGATTTCAGAGGTTTAACCTGTAGTACAACATAAAGGGACTGGAGTGTCTGAATGTTTTTTCATAAAGTAACTTTTACCACTTTTTTACAGTAGATAAAGTTGCGATGGATATTTTTAGTGCTAACAGGCTATACATTGTTGCGTAAAAACCATTACAAAATTTCTTACACAGAGCTGAGGCGTAATATCATAACTGTTTGTGAGCAGTATTTTTGCACTTAGCTCCTACGATTTTGAAAAAAAAAACACACCCTACTTATTTGAGAGAAATACCCTCCATTAATAAGCACTGCTAGAACTGATTAAAAAACAAAAAGCTAAACCATTCAAAAACTTTCACATTAGACTCATAAGTCTTCCCACAGTAGTTTTCATGCAGCTAAACTCCTGTTTTATGTCTTGTTTCTTAGATGAAAGATTAGCCTAATGACAAACACCTTTGACGAATATTTCTTAGCATATTTCATACTATTGGTATGCATGCACCTTGTGCACAAGATCTTTTTTTTTCCAGCTAGCAGTGACTGTGCATGTGCACTATATTTTTTGTGTTCCCATGGGAAGGAATAAAGGCTGGAGTTATTGTGATTCCCCTCTCTGTATTCTCCTACTGCCCATGGCTGCAAAATGGAGTCCCACTTGCTATCTTCAGACTTCTGAAAATCTTTAGAACAGCTTTCAGAACTTTAATTTTCAACTGAATAGTCCCTGAAATTGAATTTGTTTGACTTGATCAAGGACCTGGAAATTGACCTTGTACAATATTCTCTCCCCATTTCTGTGCCCCCTCTATAATCCTCCCCAATCTGCCCTTCCAGGACATATTCCTCTGTATGAAGATCTCCAGACGGTTGAGTCAAAACCTGTAGGCTTCAAGTCCTGTCCCTCCTTTCACAGATAATTTTTCTTAAATACAGACACAGCAGTTGCCTGTTTTTGGAGGTATAGAATTCATCCAAGCAGCAGGTCCTTGGTTTGCATTTCGTTCTCTACTCACATTAAAGGTCGAAAGATATAAGACTGTTCCAGCTCTTTGAACAGTCCGAGAGTGCTTGTGAGATCCAGAAGACCTGTGCTTGAGTACTTCCATACTAGTCAAATTTGCACCATTGAGTGCTCCATCAAGCAAGCAGGTAAAGTGAAGACTAGAGGAAAGAGGGTTGCACCAAGGAAATAGTTAGCACTGAAATTATCTACGGTGGCAGCTATTGCAGCATTGGAGCTATCAAAACTTTTGTCATTGAAGATCATGCTATTTTCAATAAATTGGGTGGTCAGTTAGTCAAGAGACCAAATAGCCACTGTCAGTCAGATTTATTAATATGGTATGGGAAAAGGTTCTATATGATACCATCTTCAAAAGGAGCAGTCCTGTACAGCAGTGTTACGTTCACCTTGCACAGAAGCTACGCTTTCCCAAGTTATACTTCTAAAGTGATATTTTTATTCTCTACTTGTTTACTAATTAAAGGAACTGTATATTTGTCATTTGAAACTAGGTTCAACCAGTTAGTTTATCTTGGTTTTCTGGTACAATGTGTGCTCCGTATCTTTGTTCTGAACACACTATGTATTCTAGGTCGTTATGGACCATTATCGTTTCTATGGGTACATACATTCCAGGTACTAGGAGATGTGAAGACACCCCTTAAATCCTGTATTAGGAGAAATAGGTTTGTAAGAGTAACTGACTTTCAGTTGCTATAAAGAAACAATTACATGTCCTGATACATTAGCTTCCCTGGCCTGGCCTGGAAATTGACTGGGAGTTCAACATGAATGCTGATCTATGCTCCCCACCATAGACATTGAAACAGGACACCAAAACAGGTCGCCCAGAACACTGGGGCAGGAATCTGAGGAAAAACTGTCCTCTCAATCAAAGAAACACCGGAAAGCAAAAGGATAAACCTCCTATGGCATGAAAAATAAGTGAGAAGGAGTAGACTGCAGGACAGTAAAATACATTAGTACCATCATCAACTCTGGCACTGGGTGGACTAGTGTTGATCATAACAAGGACATGCATCACCACTGTAACATCTAACCAGGACCAACCAGGCGCCAGCACTGATATTTCCCTACTCATCAGTGCCATCCATAGAAGAGAGACAGACCTCATTGCCAGGATGCAACATTGAACAGGGAGCTGTACCTATCTATAAGTGGTACCACCAAGATACCCAAAGAATTAATTAGAGTCCACCCTTTGACCCACCAGGGCAGGCATTGGTCCAGCCACCTGAATGTATATGGGGTGCTTCCTTGGCACCAATGGAATATGATCTATCTTTCCAGGTCTCCAACTTCCAAGCCCCTTGTTTCAGTCAAGGAAGAAGAAAAGATCTCCCTGTCCAACAGCATCCTTGCCTCAGTCGCAGTCACTGGATCTTTTGTGGTCTCAACCACCTAAGAGAAGTCCTGTCCAGCCAAGAATGTGGCAATTAATAAAGACCAGATGTGTTTGAGAATCTCTGTGTGTTGTTTCAGCTATAAGTGGCTATCACACTCTCCTAGCCAAATACGACTTTTCACCTTGGGGCAGAGTCATTCTGTTAGTCGTCAAGCTCTGTTTTGACAATAGAAAGTTACTCAGGGACATCATAAAAGAAAACTCAGCTTGCGCCCAAAGTGGCCTTATAAGCAGCTGTGCTCAGAGCAGACACTACAAATAGGTCCATGGCCTAAGTGTTACCCATGGGGAAGGCATCTTGGCTCCAGGCTATGTGTCATCTTCTTGGAGTGAAAACTATTACTGAGGATCTGCTATTTGAAGGATCATAGAGAAAACTAAAACTGCCTTTATATTTGCTCAGGAACTTCCTGGTGACTGTGCTCCCATTTGTTTCAACAAAGGCAACACATATCACCCTACAGTTGATAGCCAAAATACCATTCCAATAAGCTAATGAGATACAGTAGGGAATATCATTCTCCATGAATTCTCTACATGTGTGACTACAGCAAATGTGATAACTCAGACAAGCAACAGTTGCACTAAGACATTCTGTGGAGCCCTTTTTTGTAAAATGTCTAATCTCATTCTAATGGGCATTGATTGTATATTACCACTGAGAAATTGGGTACTGAACATTGTTACTTAAAGCTGTGTTGCCTAGTTCCTTTCTGTATCCTGTTACTCCTTCCACGTTCTTTTTCAAGGACCCTTCTCATAAGAGCCTTCTTGTTCTGCCTCACTGCCAATGTAAGATGTGCTTCAGGACTACAAGGGAAGAGGCTTGTCCTCTCTTTGTACTATCCTTGACAGGATGAAATTAAGCAGATTTACGATAGTAACATTTTGCTTCCATTGTTCCATTGCTCTCATCCAAATAAGCCATGGACTTTTGCCGCAGTAGAGAATGCCAGGTCCAAGGTGCTCAACTCCAAGGGAGGCGCGTGGCTGGGGTCTCTGTTGGATGCTTTTACTCTTTGGTAATCTCACAGTCTCCTTTATTCCTTCTAACAAAACGCTGGGATAATATCCTGGATCAGAAGGGACAAGTCTTCCATTATCATGAAAGCCCTTTATTGGCAGAGACAATTTTCACTGTTACACCTATCACAGATCTCCAGCCAGTCTCCGATATGCCTCCCTTCTTTGCCCTGACATAGTGTTTCTGAACTCGGGGTAGACACTGCACCTGAGCCTGGAATTGCTGCACACAACTGCCCTGGATATTGAGTGGATGAGCATCCGTGACACAGATTGTTTGTGGTAGTTGCAAGAGATTTTTGGCAGGATATATTTTTCAAAATGATGCCATTTTTGCATGTAGACAGCCCAAAATAACGTGAATCTTGTTGAAACCTTGATCCCAGATTCTGGACTATATCCTGCTCCAGTTTTTCACACTGTTTAATGGTAAGATTTATTAAGGGCTTCCTTCATGTGCAGTTACAGACCTTACTCCTTTTGTTGGCCTTTTGTGGCTCATGAAGCTTTCTTTTGACTCTTTACCAAAATGCTCATTATATCACCTTACCATTGAGTCAGTCCTCTTAGTTATCAGATCGGTATGAAAAGTCAGTTAGATCCAACCCCCCTTTGCTGAACCTTCATATGTATCTTCTAAACAGAGATAATGTAGTGATGAGTTCACTCCCATAAGTCATGTTCTAGGCCAGTAGTGCACAACCTTTTTCATTTGCGACTCCCACGGGGGCCACCAAATTTGGTGGAGCAAAAAAAAAAGGGAAGCAGCCCCTTTAACTGTCGGGCCGTGGCTACTCTCCTGCCACTCCCCCCGCCTCTGCCGTGTGTATGTCAGACACCAAGCCAAGAAGCCAGGAAAAGTGGTCGGCCAGATCCAAGCGCTTTGACCTCCCAGGAAAGCAGCTGCAACCCATGGGTTGTGCGCTGCTGCTCTAGGTGGTCTCAGAATTCCATCAGAATCAGTCACTCATCTTGGCCAGTTTCTTCTCAAAATCACAATTGTTTTTTTCCAAGAGAAAAGAAACTTCACACTTTGGATGTGAAATATTTAGACAGGACTGAGCTCTTCATTATATGTCTTCTTGGCTTTAGTGGGTTTATGTAAAGGCCAAGCAAAAATTTCCCAGAGACTCTCAAAGTGGATCACATAGTGCATTTCCTTTTGTTACCAGATAGTCAGTGAGGTGGTCTCTCCAAACAAAGAGTGCTGCTGTACAGAGCATAGGTAACACTGTTGGTCTGCTTCAGAAATTTGCTGATCTCAAAGATTTTCAAAGCAGTACATGGAGTAACTTTGATCTTTTTTAAAAATATGCACTTGATATGACAGCCAGGGAAGACACCAAGAGTGGTATTGCAATCTTTGGCAGTGCTTAGAATACAGAGGTGCTACATGTTATAGAAAAATGTTCACACCTGATACTGCAGGGTATACCTGATCATGGAAGTGAAAGGCAGCTGTCCATTGGTAGCTCCTCCACTGCCAAGGCCTTTTCCTGTGGTGAGGAAATGCTGAGGCAGTGGGATATGATACTGCAAAAAATAGCAGAGCAGACATGGGAAGCACTGCTTGGGCACATAGAGAGTTGGGTAGACTACATACCTTGGCTGTGTAGGATGGGCACGCATAAGCCATGCCTTGCCATCTTTGGTGCTGCTTATACCCATCCTGGCTGTGAGTGTAAAGTGTCTACTTTATATGCCTCCATAAGTGTGGACATATCTTTTGATTAGTACAACTGTAGCACTTTACTCCCACTATCTGAGAAAGAAACTGCTTGCTAGTCACTTACAATGGGATCCCCACTGACACAAAAAGAATTATTACTTATCTTACAGTAACTGTGGGTCTTTGAGATGATGTAGTCCAGGCCTGCACAACTCGGAAAGCGGCGAGGGCCATATTACTCCAAAGAAAACAGCTGCAGGCCACAAGGGTAGGTTTGCGGGGGGGGGGAACTTTATTAAGAATTTTTCAATTAAATGAGGCCTGCACAACATACGGCTCCCAATGTCCTTACCCTCTTCTCTCCCAGCATCACCGTCCCCCCTAGCGGATTGGATGGGGCTGCGCTGCGTAGTCGTCACGGGCCACACAGTGAGCCCCTGCAGGCCACATGTTGTGCAGGCCTGATGTAGTCAGTGCAGTCCTGTGATCAACCCTCTTGGTATTTTTCTGAGTAGTCTGCAATGTGGACTTCAAATAGCACCAGAACTGAAAAAGGGTTATGGCCCCTCCTCATTAATCCACTCATTTGGGAGCACAAGAATGCACATGCAACCCTCATGCCTAGTATATGGTTTGGTCTTATGTATGTCAGGTTTGTGCACAGCTACAGTGAGATGATACTGACTCCATCTCAGAGAGCCACAGTTGCTGTAAGGTAATAAACTCTTCTAGCTGAAAATGTAACTCTTTGCTACTTGTTCCTGTCTACTCTGTAACACTGTACTGCACGCATAAACTTGTTGGGGAACATTTTAACCTGCCTGGGCACTCGATCATGGATTTGAAAGTAACCATTCTTCTACAAAGGAATTTTACCAGCCAATTACAGAGAGAGAGATTGTGGAATTGATATTCATCTGCAAATCTGATACTTTTTCCCATTGACTGAATGTCTCATTATAAAGCCAGTTTCCCTGCCTTTAACTCTGCATTTTCCCATCAATAGCTAAGTATAGGACACTTCCAGCCCACTTAATTCGCTTCATTAGCACTAGTCCTACAATAAATAAGTACCTTTTTGTTTTGTTATAAATAACTTGGTTTCTGTTATTTGTACTCCAGTTCATCTGAAGAAGTGGATTTTGCCCATGAAAGCTCATGATATTATATATTTTTATTAGTCTCTAAGATCCCACAGGACTACTCCTTGCACTACAAGAGAAAGTTCATTGGGTTTATAACATTGATTTCTGCCTATACAAATTAGAAAAAATAATCACATTACAAGAACACATTTTAGAAATTTTATCAGTAAATTCCAATGACTTCTTTTATTTCATGTCCAGTTGAGAAAATTAACAGGAAAAACATCAATGGAAGACACATTATGTAAAAGTTGGGAATTGTACCTTCCACTAGGAGCAAGTATTTGTGAATGTGAATTAATAGCTAGACATTTAAGTAAGATATTTATCTTCATCTCGAAAATGTTGGTGCATAGTAAGCAGTGACTTTTGTAAATTTACTGTTCATCTATTTGTGATCACAATTTCTGTGACCACAACAGCAGTTTCTTTTCTGTAAAAGAATAGGAGAGTATTTATTATAACTGATAATACTCTTTTATTAAAAGTTAGCCACTGGAAAAAATAATTCAGGGCAGTACCATGTAACCACTTGGCTCTCCCGCACTACATGCACATGGTTCATGAGTCAATGTTTAGGAACCTTTCTTATATTTCAATAAAGCTAAAGGTGTATTGGCAAGTAGTATGAAAAAAGCCCTATTGCTTCTCATGAAAAAGGATTTCTCTGGTTTAGTAGCAACACAAATCCGTTTGCACATTCAGCAATAACTTACCTCTTCATATAATTTTCAGCTGAAATAGATTTTTTTTGTTGTTCTGACCGGTCCTGGATGAGGGATTTTGCTGGACGGGGGAGGCCATTTCTCCTTCCTTCCCTCCCCCCCCCGCCACCTGTAGGTCCTGTAGCACCTTAGAGAGTAACAAATATATATAAATATATTTGTTAGTCTCTAAGGGCATGTTTACACAGCAGGACTAAAGCTGAAATAAGCTATGCAACTTGAGCCATGTCAATCAATTGCATAGCTTAAGTTGAAATAATTTATTTTGGCTTTTGGTGCTGTCTATACAGCAGGAAATCCGAGAGAGAGCACTCTTCCTCTGACTTCCCTTACTCCTCGTACAATGAAGGTTACAGGATTCGGAGTAAGAAGTCCTCCAGCTTGTCACTATTTCAACATTGTGTTGAAATAATTGCTTGTAGTGTAGATGCGGCCTGTGTTATTTTGGAATAATGGTAATGTGTAGATGTACTCTTAGTGCTACAAGACTTGTTTTTTAAAGTTACAGACTAACATGGCTACCCCTCTAAGACTTTAGGACTAATTTTTTTTTTTTTACCTTCCATAGATTAGGGGTGGGGTGAGTGAGTGTACTTACAGAGACACACAGCATGATTAAACATAGTGAAATAACATCTGGGGAGGTAACTATATTCCCAGTATCACCCAACATCTTCAGCTTTGCATTCATAATATTTATCTTGACCTGTAAAACTAAAAATTTTGAGCTTCCCAAACAGCTCATACAAGGTATCTCTAGCATGACTGCCAAGTAAGAATAATAATACATTATGTGTTTTAATTTTAACCGAAGTGCTATTTTAAGATATGAGTATTTAGCAGAATTTGTATGCTTATTCACATATATTTTTAACTCCCATTGGCCTGAAAGTGCTAGTTTTGGTTGTTGTTTTTTAAAGGTGATTGGTTCAGACTGATGTTTGAAATAATCTTTTGAAAGAGTAATATTGAGTGCTAAAAGGAGCTTCTGTTTAACCCCATTTTATAATTCTTTTAGAATTATTGGTTAATTATGAAAATTGAATATGCTTGTAAACACAATCATTTGAATAATTTTATTTTGATAGGGTCAGCAGTTCCCTGCTTTACTCACAGATTCTAGTCTCTCCAGCCAAAGCGGTTCGGGCTCACAACAAGTCATACTGGTGAGCCATACACCACATTCAACATCTGCAAACTCTGATGAAATAACGTATCAGGTAGATGTGTTTTATTTGTTTACTTTTATGTTTAAAAACATGACTTAATCATATATGAAAATGATCTGTTTGTTCTGAAGCAGAGAGTTTCATATAATTTTTAACTTTATCCCAAAGTAGTTTATTTTGAAGGCTATGTCTGTACAATTGACTATGTCTTTACCTGTGCTTCCACAGATTCAGGCAATTGCAACTCCTGTTGGCTGCGGATCACTGTTCCCAGCCAGTGAGAGCTATGGGAAGTGATGTCCCAGTTTGCACTAGGGATATTAAATTGCAATTAATCAGCTAATCAAGTAGTAAATGGAATTTCCATTGAGTACCCAATTAGTCAATAAGGGGAGGGAGCACTCACTACCCCCTTGTGAGGCTCTGCTGCTTAAATGCCTGGTTTCTACTACATTTAAATTGCAGATCCGCAGCAGGGGTAGTTCCCAGGGTTGGCGTGAGCCAGGACTAATTGGGCTCTTACTATATTTAAAAGGCAGAGCTGCAGTGTCCTGGAACCAGCACAAACTGGGACTGCTTAGTGCCAGCTTGTGCCAGCCTTGGGAGCTAACCCCGCTGCACCTCTGCCTTTTAAATGTAGTAATTGCCGGGCAACATTTACTACATTTAAAAGGCAGAGCTGTAGCGCTGCGGGGAACAGAGATAGTGCTGGGGGGAACTGGCTTTTAAGACGGCTCTCCCCAGCACTGGCTCCTGCTCCCCCCACCTTTGCTGCCTCTGATATTGAAGCAGCAAGAGGGAAGGGAAATGCGAGTAGTTGACTTGACTACTCTTTTACATCCCTAGTCTGTGCCACTTCTTGTGTCTCCATTGGCCAGGAATGGCAAACTGTGGCTAATGGGAGCGGCAATTGCCTGTATCTACGGAGGCACAGGTAAATATAGCAGTGACCCACTAGGGCCTAATCCTGGCAAATTACCACCTTTTTATTGCCCATCCCTGACTTAAAGCATGGATTCGGGTTCTTTAGTAACTATGAAAAAATATCACATATCTTCCTGATAATTACAGCACTATATGTGTGTAGAATAAATGTAATGAGAATTTCTTAGTAAATTGGTTTATTAGCTTAAGCTTTAAAATATGTCCTTTAAGAAGTTGGCACTTGTCAGATCTTCCCCTCCAATCTTCTCAGTGGAGTTAATAACAGAATAATGCAGACTCTCTACGGTTCATATACAGTTGAAACTTGCTTAAATCTTAGCTGAGGAATTTTAAAAATACTAATAGCAAGTTTTCTGTCAGCTGGATATCAAATTGCCATAAGAAAGTGGAAAAAATATGTCTTTGAAAAGGAATTTAATCATATAGGGAATAGGGATATCAACACGTAGTTGACTATATGATTAACCAATAAATCTAAGCTTATTAATTAACCTTGTTGACAACATGCATTTCCTCCTCCCCTTCTCCCGCCTTGCTGCCTCTGTATCAATCTGCATGATTTCTACCATCATAGCATGTCATATGCCTCAATATATGCATGATTTCTACCATCATAGTATGTCAGATCTCTTTCATTGCCCTTCTCTCTTAGCCATGACTCTTCTGGGATGAGGTAACCAATATAAACAAAATACTAAAGATTACACTGTAACAGCAATTTACCTGTTGTATATAATACTTTCCCCTATTTGTCTTTTTATAGAGGTTACAGTAGCATCATGTTTGGTTTTCTTTAGCCGCTGTTGACCTCTTGGTATTGCTGCTCATACTTCTGTCCAGGTTACAGATAATTTAGGACCCATCAGTGTATATGTGCAGTTTAAACTGTTCTTTTTAATGTGCTATACATTGCATTTCAGTAAACTTAATCTTCTATTTCTGTTTTCTGGATTAGGTCTTATTGAAAATTTATAAATGCTCTTTAGTCATGACTATCCTAAATGATTTCATATACAGTAATGTGTGCTGTGTCGAGATTGAGTCAGTTATCTCATTCTAGAAATTACTGAATGTAAATAAACTCTAAAGCCACCCTCAAGCTATTTCCTTAAAAAAAGTAGGGCAAAACTTTAAAAAATGCCTAAGTGACTTTGATGCGTAAGTGTAAATTAAATTTAATTGGACTCAGAGGCATTTTTAGCCATTTCATATAGGCTCTTAAAGTACCTAAATAAATCCCTTTTGAAAATGGGCTTTCAATTTCTGAGTCACTAGATCTTTTGAAAATTTTACCTGTTCTGAAAAAAAAAAAAAAAATTGGAAAAGATCCTATCACTTTTACAATCTACAGATTTATAGATGTCACACTTTTTTTTGTTTTATAAGAAGCATGTTACTTTCTAACATGGCTTTTAGACAAGTTGTTTTTGCTAAAGAGAGAACAGAAATAGACTACATCAGAACTTTATGCACCTTCACACATCTCATACACACCTACCGGAATTGCCACTGAATGCACACAAAATATCTAACCACCACTGGTTTCCTTTTCCAGAACAGAACAGGTATCAGCAACCTTGTCAAGTGGACCATCAAAGTAACCTGTTAGCAGGCAGCAAGACATTTTGCTTACATTGACTGTCCACAGACATGGTCCCTCGCTGCTCCCATTGGGGCTAGTTAAGCAGCTCCCAAAAAGCTCTCGTGGCTTGCTACTGGATTACCCTGATGGGCCACATGCTTAAAATTGCCAGCCCCTGACATAAAGGCATGTATCAGTCAAGGCTGAAATTCCATTTCTTTTACCTAAATGTCTTTTCCCTGAATTCTTGTGTCGGAGGCTTTACTTTCTATCTCTTTATTTTGAAGTTTAAGGACAGAGTCATTCCCTATTATCGCTCCTATTCCTTAGAGCAATTGAGAGCTGTATATAAGTACATTCTATCAAATAAAATCCTGTTCTTCCAAATCTAGCTATGCTATACTTTGAGATCAAGTATTTTGGCTTTTTGTCTGCCCATTATTCTCTTGTAGAAACTTTTTATGTGGGGGGAAAAAAATCACTCTTACTAAATTAGTTATTTCTTTTATAAATCATGCAAGCCTGACACCTATGGTAAAAATCTGTTACGTAAAAATAGACAAATAGATGTATGTTGTCATCAAATAGACAGATTAATTGTCTTAATATTCATAAATATCAGTTTTTATTCTTCGGTAAAGTATATTTTAATTTCAAAACATAGATGAACCTGAGTCTCCTTGGTTATTTTTTAAACTGTCCTTATCTGCTGTACACATACCATTTGGAGACTAGACTAGCTGCGTTCAAGAAACTGTACAGGGAACAAGATTTTCATAATGTAGTTAGTGTAATAACATCTTTTCAATCCCCTGTTTTAGAATAAAATACTTAAGCACTTGCTTAATTTTAAGCATTTGGTTTATCCCACATATATCAGTGAGATTATTTGTGTGTTTAGTGGTAAGCGTGTGAGTAAATATTTGCAAGATCGAGGGCTTATTATGATAACTTTGGTGGAACTAGGTACATTAATCGAGAAAACATCACAGACCATTTTTATTCTGGAGAACATCATTTCCCCTAATATGTGAAAAATAGGATCTGTGGCTTTGTCTAGGTGAGGAAATTCAGTGGTTGAGTGTAGGGTCCAGATTATGTAAAATGTTTTTAGCTAACCCAGACCTTATATCAACTTCTTCCCTAGTCTAGACACAGGTGAGCACCTTTTACTTTGGTGTAGTAGGCTCAATTTAAATCTACATTTTCCTCTACAGACTAAATAGTCTTGAGTCTTGCCTTGAGATTCTTCCAGAACTTTAAAACCACTTATTTACTAGTTATCAATAAAATAAGAATGCTGAAATATTTTAAATTGATAAGAAAAATGTTATCAGGTATTGAATGTCTTATGGTTACAGTAGGATTACACTCAATGTGCTGTGTGACTCTCAAAGCTTTGAGTTTATGCAAGGGAACGATTACATGCAATGGTCTCCACTTCAGTTATACTTGCTTTAGAATAGCAGATGGTTAAGAATGGTGATCTAGGCTCTATTAACTCAGGCAAAGTTTAGGAAGAGTTGTTCAGAGCTACCTATCCAAATTTGCTTTTGTGTTGTCTAGAGCAGGGGTTCCCAAACTTTTTGACACGGGGACCAGTAAATCCATTCACGAACTTTTGGAGGACCAGTAATGTTCATTTGCATATTCATTAATCAAATTATGAATATTCGAATAAGCTGTTTCTGGTCCTCCCAGATCTCCCAGTGCCAGCTTTAGCAAAGCTTTTGATATGGTCACCCACAATATTTTTGCCAGCAAGTTAAGGAATATGGATTGGATAAATGGGCTGTAAGACAGACAGAAAGCTGGTTAGACCAGGGTTTCCCAAACTTTTTACTTTAATTGGAACCCTTTTTTTCTTTCAGTTATGCTTTTTGCAGCCCAAAAATATAAACACATGAAAAACAAATGAAGAAAATACCAGACATATAATATGTCTGGTATTTTCTCAGTAGGTAAGTTGTATTATTACTAGATGTATCAGTTTGTAGTTTCAAACTGCCTGGCTGGTAAATGTGCTCAGGCTGCATGAGTGTGTCTACCAGCCAGATAGTTCGCAACTACTCGAGGGGTTTGTGTGTGTGTGTATGTTGGGGGGCCGACGACAGTAGAATCCCTGTGCCAGACTAACTCGTGCTTTGTGGGTGGGTGGGGAGAGGGAATGGGGTCGGGTCAGTCCCACTCCCTGCAGGCCGATTCATTCCTCCCCCCTGCTCCTCTTGCTGCGCCTCTGGCCAGCCCCACTTTCCCCAACCCCCTCCCTGGCAGCCAGTGCTCCCCAGCCTTTCCCCCCACTTCCCCCAACTCCCTCCCAGGCAGCCAGTTCTCCCCTGCTTCTCCTCCCAATCTCCCTTGGCCAGCCCCGCTGCCCACGGCCAGCCCTCCTTCCAGCGGCCACTTGCCTCCCCGTCCTCCCAATCTTCCCCAGCAAGCTCCCTGCCCCCAACCTTGCACCCCCCGGCAGTCCTGCTTCCACCGGCCTCCCAGTCTCCCCAGCCTGCCCCAATTCCTCCGTCCA